TGGCACCTCACCACTAAGTGGTAGGGAGCAGGTAATAGTCTCTTTGTCTCAGGCAAACAGCTACTGGGTAATAAGCTACAGGCACACAAACCTACATTATTGCAACTTAAACTGTAGTGTTTAGCCTGATTTTTTCCTGGGGTAATTCTACTACAGATTCAAATGTATTACACCAACAGAGAGCTGTATCTATTCTTTTTAACAACAGTGTAAAGGCTAAGTAAATCAGTATATATATGCCAGGTGTCCAAGCCCAAAATTGCAGGGGGGTGAGGGAAAGGAAGGCTGCAGGAGGAGGAGGAGGAAGAAAGATTTCCTTTAATTTGTCAGAGACTATTATATTACTATTTGTTTGAAATTGATAGTTGACTCCTAGCCCTAGAAGTGGCAGTGCGCATCTCAGCATTTCATGGAAAACAACTTATTTTTTCACTGCTCATGGGTGTATTCCAAGTTTTATTTGATGCTTCCTGCTATATTTTTGCACATTCAGATCTCAGACCTAATTCTGTGAAAGCTACTTCAGCCACAAAGGGGGCCAATTCCCTTTTTCATTATTATTTTCTTTCTTTATGACTTAAAGAACATTCTTTTGCTCCCTGAGATTTCAAGATTCATGAAAAATGATCTGCTAAAGCAAGGGATGGTGAAAGGAAGAAGAAAGTCAAATCTGTATCATTTAAAGAGAAGGAGGCCTATCCATATGAAATAGTGGGCTTTGTGATTTCAAGCTTATTCTGCTTCCCTAATCTTGTAGAAGTGGTGTTTGATTAATGTCTACAAAGTGCAGACTAGGACAATTACCATATCTTCTCACATCCAAGGTACACCTTCCCCACCAATAAGCAATAAGCTCTACAGTTTATTCATGTGCAGTAATAGCACGTGTAGATGTGCCCAAGAATATATTTTCTTCTTCATTCTGCCTAGCAAAAACAAGGGGTATATCTTAATTGAGGGCAAGCCATGTGCGTGAAAATATTTATATACAATATTTATTTAGAGACTCCAGTTTTTAATTAACATTATCATATCTCCTTCTCTTCGCTACCACATCCCTTCACTGGCTGCTGAACTGTCAAGATGTACATGCATCAGTTTGACATGTCCAGTGAGTCTCTTCGCTACCACATCCCTTCACTGGCTGCTGAACTGTCAAGATGTACATGCATCAGTTTGACATGTCCAGTGAGTCAAGTGGCAGTATATCCACATTGCAGTCAAGCATTAACTCCATGCTGTCAGAGCTGGACTTTTACAGGTATCTGAGTTAACTGGTTTAAAGTTAGCTTGGGTATGTCTAAGCTACACTGCACTCCCTAGTATGACTCCTGTGTAGACATACCTGACACCTGCAGTGTGGTGTGGTGGGGATAGGGTGGGGGTGGAGAACTTTCCTAGGTTGAATGACAGAGCTTAGATTTATAACATCAAGTTGAGCAAGACATTAAAAAAAAGATGTTATAAATAGCACAGCACCCTGAGTTATTGGGAAGAACTACTCAGTGACAGGACACAAGGCAAAATTAAAAACAAAAATAAACAAGCCAAACAATTGGAGTGATCTTTGCCAGAATGAAACATTCACCTAGTAAGCCAGCAGGAAGTTGAATCTCACGTACGTCAGCTCAGAGCGTGGGAGTGATGCTTCAGTTAATTCAGCTCAGAGTTCCTGTAGAAAAATCCTATACATTTTGGAGTGTAACCCAAAGAGGAGTTGATCTAGGCTAAGAATATACTAGAGAAGGGGATCCCAAACTGTGATACACATACCCTTGGGGGCATGCAAGACATCTCTGCAGGGGGTACACGTGATAAATTGTGTAATGGCTGATTTAATTTTCATTATAACAACAACTAGCATCTAAGAGGTTAAAATATAAAATATATGCTGGTAGGAGTATGTGGGCAGCTGGTATATCTGGAAGGGGATATGCAGTAAGAAAAACTTTGATAACCTCTGTATAAGAGAATTATTTCCTAGAATTTAACAGACTTGTATCATTGTTTGAGAAATTTAGTATTTTATTCAAACATTGCAAAGAAAGGATTCTGATTATAAAGAGGATGGAGACAGGTGTTTCTCTGTGGCTATACAGGACAGGACTAGGAGCAATGGACTCAAGTTGCAGCAGGGGGAATTTAAGGTTAGAGATGACAAGGAACTTTCTGACTAAGCTGGTCAAGCATTGGAACTGGCTACTGAAAGAAGTTGTGTAATCTCCATCCCTGGAAGTTTTCAAAAGCAGGTTGGACAGACCCTTGGCTAGCATGGCTTTATTAGAGATGATCTTGCTTAGAGAAGAGGGTTGGATAGATGACCTCACGAGGTCCCTTCCAATCGTAAGTTCCTATGATGCTATAAAGGCTTCCTTTCTGCAGTGTGCAGTGGTCTTGTTACACTAAGAATGCTTGAGGACTATACTACAGCACTTTTAACCAAAATGTATAAGCAATCTTCGCAAGAGAGAAGATAACTGCAACAATCCAGATGTCTGAAATGGCATTATTATACTGAACTGGTACAAGGCTTCCAGGTAGAGTTGTAGCTAGATGATGCTAGTTTCCCCTTATAATTAAGGGGAAAAAAATAACCATGGGAACTCTGTGGTAAGTGCTGGCTAATATGAGCTGGCTAATATTTACTCTTAGTGGTGGCCACTGTACTACTGACGATAAGAATTCAGGCCATTTTAAAGTTTTTATTGTGGTTTTTCTTCTTTATATACATTTTATAGTCAGTGTGATTAGCTTAATAAAATGTAGAGTCTAACTATGAAACTTCTACTGACACTTGAGACATTCCAGAAGGAAAATCCCAGAAGGAACTAAATGCTGTGCTTCACATTGCTTTATGTTAATTTCTTGAAAGTTTCGAATAGGAAAACAGTTTGAAATGGCTTAACTGCTGGCCAGTTTGTTTTTCCCTTGGTAGAGTAAAACCCAGTTTTTGTGGCTGAATAACTTTCTTGCTTTTTCTTTTAAGTGATCATAATATTGCCAGAACATACCATATGGTGATATCTGATATGGACGGTTGGACAGAAGTTCTATTTAGTTATCAGAGATTGTGCACAGGGGCCTCAGATATCAGAACTCTCTGCAAAGCCCTTTAAGTCAAACTTGACGTTTGATCAGCTTGCTTCTGTATTATTTCATGGGGAAAAAGGGAGCTCTTTAGAAACAAAACTAGCACTGTATAAGCCTCCTACTGCCTTTAAGACTGAGGATAAATGCATCAGAGTTGTTCAGACCCAGATTTGAAACACACACTTCTTCATGGTTCTCTCAGCTAGAATCAGCTTTAGAATAGTTTGTTTTATTATTAAAGAACTGAAGTTCTGTAATTCTATTGCTTTCTTTTACCAAGCCTGCCTAAAATCCTTCAGTCTTTCCCATGGGTCAGAACTGCTCCTTCCTCCTCACACCCTGCGATTTTTTTTTTATTTTTCTTTCTTTATTTTTGAGTGACCTTGGAGGACCCCTCATATCAGACTCCACATGGAAGTTTTGGCAAACCTGAGCCTGTTCTACCTCTTTTGAAAAAGTCATCAGTCTCATAGATTTTGATAGTCAAACATACAATTTTCTTTAGATTTTATTTTTAGATAGTTTTGTTTCGATGCTGAATATTGCTTTAAAAACAGCAATGGACAACAAACAGATCAGAAGATAATACTTGCATTCTCCAGGGGACAGTTTTCAAAGCTTCTCTTCTATGTAAGATGTCTCTCAGATACATAGCAGCGGAGTGGACTTTTCTGTATCTGGATTTTAACTATTGACATTCTGGACCTAAGCAATTTATTTTAGCTGCAAGATAGGGTATTATAGAAGCTGCATTTGGTTGTGGGGGCGGGGGGAAAGGCAGCCTGGGGGGGG